AAACATGTATTTAGCATTCATTACACTTAACAGCCTCAGATATTTGATTTTCTCCATTCTATTTCCACAAAATCCTTTCTAGTCACCCCACTAAAAACCTCACTCTTGTATATTCTTTTTAAAACTGGGGATTGGACCCAAAGGTACTTTTCCCCTGGGCTATATCCACAGTCCTTTTATTTTTTACTGAGAAAGGGTCTTATTAGGTTGCTGAGATTGACTTCAAACTTGCAATCCTCCTGCCTCAGGCTCCAAAATCACTGGGATTACAGACCACCATGCCCCCCACAATATATTTTCATATAAACACATCAATTCATTTCCCCCAAGTCTATTTAACAAATACGTATAAATCTAACTTCATATTTATTGAGCTCTTTTATTGAGAAGAAAAAGTTCCAAAAAGACACTAAATGTTTTGATTGTGCGCGCACGCGCCCCCCCGCGCGTCTGTGTGTGTGTGTGTGTGTGTGTGTGTGTGTATATATATATATATATATATATATATATGCCAATACTTTCTCACTTCCCTGTCACCATATGCTGCTTCTCTGATCAAAACACAGAATTCATTTCCTCACCAGGTTGAATATGGGCTGGCCTATGACACTTTGACTAACAGAATGTGGCACAAGTGACACTAGGACTTCTTGACTTTTGTCTAAGAAGCCTTGCAACTTCTATTTTTGCCCTAGCATCAAGCCTATAAAGAAGTCTGGGCTAAATACCTGAACAATAAGACCATGTGTAAAAAGAATTTCAGCTACTCCACAGAGGAAGCAAACACAAGTGAAGACATTTTGGACCTGCTAAACTAAAACAAGTTCAAAGCTAAATACAATTGTGTAATCCACTCCAACCCACAACAAATGGAAAGAATTAACCAGCTGAGCCTAGATAACCTGAGAATATGAATTAAAGAATTGTTGTTTTCAGGGTGGATTGACATAAATACTTTTAACTTTAAAGTATATGGATCAAATAAAGAACTTAATCTACCTTTAAATCCCAAATTGTATCTACAAGTAATTCATGTTCTTTAGTTTTCAGTACTCCTTTTATTTTTTAAATAATTTAAAAACATATTCATTCAGTTGTTCAGATTTGTAAAATTGTTGACCACTACACTCATTCCAGAGGAATGTCATTACTGTGTACATTTGCCAAACTCTGTTATTAAAATTTTTACCTGCATAATTTTATTTATTCCTAGCATAATTCTAGGAGGGAAAGGTCTGTATTATTCCTATTCAACGAGCTGAAAAATAAAACTAAGGCTCAGAAGTTAACTACTTTATTTAGGGTCAAAGAGAGGTAGAGCTTGAATTCAAACCCAGACCTGTCCAACTTTAAATCCTATTTTGTTGTTATTGCTATTGTTGTTTGCAATGCTGGGGATAGAACCTAGGGCCTTGCACACCCTAGGCAAGCACTCCACTACCAACTTACTCCAGCCCCCAAAGCCTATTTTCTTAATTAAGTTTATATTACAGATTTGCTCATATCAACCTTATAAAAACCTTGCTGAAGAACACCAATAGCTCTTTGGCCCACATAAAAGACTTCTTTAAAAGCAATACATCAGTCTAGATGCTCCAAGGCCTCAATAGTAATAGCAACTTCCTCTGGGTTCGAGCTACACCAGCACCTTCTTCAGGAGACACTTGCAGCCACCCAGCCACTGCCCAATGGTAACCATGTACAACTGAAAGGCACTGATAAAAAATGCGGACATGTGGGAAGAGATGCAACAGGATCCTGTGAAGTGTGCTACTCAGACATTAGAGAAATATAACAGAAAAGGATATTGCAGCCCACATTAAGAAGGAGTTTAACAAGAAGTACAACCCCACCTGACACTGCATTGTGGGAACTTCAGTAGTTATGTGACACATGAAACCAAACACTTCATCTAATTCTACCTGAGCCAAGTGGCCATTCTTCTCTCAAATCTGGTTAAAAGCATGGATTGTGCCATACACCCAGTGATCCATCCAAAAATAAGAACTAAAGCCTAAATCCCAAATACCACAGACTGAAATCTTCAGCCTTGCTAAGGGAATAGCTTGATCTTGGAACATTTATTGTGTTTTTTTAAAATTATGTAATTGATTTTATTTTTAAAAATAATTTATTGTGTTTTTATAGGGCATTCCCTGTACCAGTTTGTTGTGATTATAAAACAATTAGCAAAATAGCTTACATTTCTATTTATTTTCTATCCCGTACTTCTGTGCCCCATGTTTTTTCTCTAAATCCATTCCTTTGAAAAATAAATCTGTTGGAGATGTTAAAAAAAAAAAAAAAGCAATACATCAAATGCTTTATTTCATTTGGCATATATTTGTTGACAGTCTCACTAACTGGAGACATACTGAAAAATTTAACCATATTATATATGGCTCTAGAAAGTGTAACAACATTTTCCCCTTCAATGCAGTATTGTCAAAAGTTATTTAACTTGTTTCACAGCCAAATAATATCAAAGGATAAAGAAGAGATGTGTCAGAGTGTGCTTTCAATAGTTTGGTCCACCTCACCATCTCCTATCAAATTTATATTCTCTCAATCATATACTATTGGTCATTCTTCTCTTATCCACTTGAAATGTTCTATGTCCTCCCTCTCTGCTTTCCAAAATCCAACCTCATCTAAGAAGCCTCTTTTGATTATGCCAGTCAGACATATTCTCTTATCCAGGTCACTTACAATCCACATCAGTGATTTCCAAACATGGCTAATTAAAATCAGCTGAGGAAAAAAATAAAACTAAAAAATAATATCACTTGAGGGATATTAAAATTAAAAAGACCTAAAATTAGAAGTTACACTTTGAAAAAGTAAGACTAAAAGCAATCTAAATAAATATCAAATTAGGACTGGTTAAGTCAATATGGTAAATGATGTGAGTATATGAAACAATCTCCAATTTATATTAAGTGAAAAATCAAGGTACATATCTGTGAAATTCTACCTTGTGTGTGGCAGGAGGAGGCAGTTCTAGGGACTGAACCCAGGCCACTGCACATGCTAGACAAGCACTCTATGAGTGAGCTACATCTCCAGCCATTTTTTTAAACTTGATATTGAGACAAGGTCTTGCTAAGTTGCCCAGGCTGAAATTGAATTTATCCTCCCACCTCAGTCTCTTAAGCAGCTGGGATTACAGGTAGGCGCAACTGTACCTGTTGAAATCCCACTTTTTAAAAGCTAGGTAATATAAGCTTATGTATGCCCAGTAAATGTCAGAGCATTAAAGAGGCACTTGAATGGTTGTCCTTCAAGGGGGGGGGGGTAGTTTGCAAGAAAACTTTCCATTTGATTACCATTTGTAATTTTTAAATTTTACATTCTATGGATAGATCTTTTTGGGGGGCAGGGTTGGGGGTACTGGGGATTGAACTCAGGGGCACTCAACCACTGAGCAACATCCCTAGCCCTTTTTTGTATTTTATTTAGAGAAAGGGTCTCACAAAGTTGCTTAGGGCCTCGATAAATTGCTGAGGCTGGCTTTGAACTTGTGATCCTCCAGCCTCAGCCTCCTGAGCTCCTGAGATTATAGGCATGCACCACCAAGCCTGGCTAGATCTTTTTTTTTTTTTTTTTTTTAATTAAAAACAGGGTTGGGGATATAACTTAGCAGTGGAGCACTTGCCTGGCATGCATGAGACCCTGGGTTCAATCCTGTAAAAAACAAAATTATTTTTTTTAAAAACCCACATGGATGCCCAGGACTTTCATCTCATCTCTACTGATCAAACTCTCTAGGGGTTGGAACCAGGCTTTCTTTTTTGTTTGTTTGTATGTTTTTGTGGTGCTGAGAATCAAACCCAGGGTCTCATGCATGCTAGGTAAGTACTTCACCACTGAGCAATACTTCAAACCTGGGACCAGGCTTTTGAAATGTTAAACTACACAGATGATTCTGATGATCAGTCAAGATTTGTATCACCTATCTACACTACTTACATGGTACTTAATGACTCAGATAAAAATAGGGAGGATACTTCACACCTTCACTTTTTTTGTTTGTTTGTTTTCTTATAATTCCTAGAGAGGTTACCTAGTAAATAATTTTTGATGAGAGTAATGCAGAACTATATTCCACTTTTCTATTATATTTCATTTTAGAAACACTTTTCAAATTCTTGGCATTGTTGAACAATTAAAAATTATCACTTTCAAGGGGCTAGGAATATAGCTTAGCATCTACAAGTTCCTGAGTTTAATCCCCAGCAACACACACACACACACACACACACACACAAACACTTTCAATATTGGCTCTGCACTAACAATAAACTTGTCTCACCAACTTTTCTTTTATTGGTGTGGAGAGTATCCAGAGATTGAACCCAGGGATGCTTAACCACTGAGCCACATCCCCAACTCCTATTTATTTATGTTTTGAGACAGGGTCTCACTAAATTGCTTAGAGCCTCACTAACTTGCTAAGGCTGGCTTTGAACCTGTGCTTCTCCTGCTTCAGTCTCCCAAATCACTGGGATTACAGGCTTGTGCTACCATGCTGTGCTCAAATTTTCTTTTTTGAAGGCCACAGTTATAGATTGTAAGGGTAAGTAGTGAAGTGCAAACCTAAGACCCTACACCACAAGGACAAGCCAGCCATGATGGCACACACCCATAATTGCAACCATCTGGGAGACAAAAGCAGGAGAATCCTAAATTCAAGTTCAGCCTTGCAACCTGGCAAGACCGTTGAACAATAAAAAGGGCTGGGGAAGGCTGGGGTTGTGGCTCAACAGTAGAACACTCGCCTAGCATGTGCAGGGCACTGGGTTCAATCCTCAGCACCACATAAAAATAAATAAAATAAAGGTATTGTGTCCAACTACAACTAAATAAAAAAGGGTGGGGTTGGGGATATAGCTCACTCATAGAGCAGTGCCCCCAGTTTGTTCCCAGTACCACCAAAAAAAACAAAAATTTAGGGACATACTTTATAGTTTACATGAAGAAAAAAATAAACTATGTGGAAATCAGATTCCAAAGAAGCCACATTTTATTATTACAGAGAGAAAACAAAATCCTTTCCTCATAAGGAAAAGTTCTGTTCCCCTTCTTCAGAGTGCTACAGATGGATGCCTCTTCCACAGTTCCCAGCTTTCCGATCTACCGATACTTCCCATGTCGGTTAAAGTGCTTATAGAGATAGCTGATACGTTTGTTAAGGTTATGCAAGTCATCAAAGAACATTCTATTTCCAACCATTTTCTTCTTCCGGATACAACGCTGCAATTCGTTCCCCTTCCAGCCTCGAAGCCATATGGGGCCCTTGATTAGTTGTTTGGGGTGCTTTTCAAAGTTCCCTGTGTAATGTGAAAGAACATATTAGTACCAAGACAATAGAACCAGGCCTAGACCAGCTAAGCCTTCAACCCAAAGTTGCATCTTCTTGAGCAGCACCTTTAAACAAGACATATTATGGTACAGCATCAAGAGCACAGACTTTGGAGTCAGAATGCTTGGGGTTCAAATTTTTTTACTAGCTTTAAAAAAATTACTTAACCTTGCAGTTCCTCAGTTTTCTCACCTGTAAAACGGAAAGATTATGAAGATTAAGTGTATTAATTCATGTAGGGCACTCAGAAAAATATGAAAACAGTCATACGATGATTCTCTACACAGGTGAAAAAGACGGTAGTTACTGTGTAGTAGCCCTTCTGAAATTCGTACCACGTAAAGCATCGAGTCTTACCCAGGATCCCGATGTTGTCATATACTCCGAACAAGGCCCTCTTCTCGTTCCACCGATCAACCACTTTGGGGGGCGGGAGGGTGAGCCTTATACGGATGGTCAATCGCGGAACACCTTAAGATGGGGAAGAAAAGGAATGAATCTGAGCTGCCTATTAAAAAGCAGTTCTCCAAGCACCTTTCTACATTAGCTACTTACCCATAGAGAAGCTTCTGCATGCGTAGGGCATCCAGCCCCACAAGCTTCTACCTGCCCAAGAGAGAACCCCTGCCATTACTCTAGACTGTCTCTCAACGGCATACCAAAAAAGTCCCAGTATGAGGGCCAGACGTGACCTCAAAAGAGATGGCACCGTCTCCACTGGCCTCACACAGGTACCAGGCAGGAGGCGGCCATCTTGGCCCTTACCCAGGCAGCTTTGGGCGCAGTCCCCGCCTCTCCCAATCACACAAGCCCCACCCTCCGAGTTCGGGCCGACAGAGGCCTGGACTACCCACCCAGCCTAGTACTTCCGGCCTATCCACCGGAAATTTTGGAGCGCTACAGCCAAGGGAGGTTACGGTTCGCTCTGTAGAGATTCTGAAAATTGAAATTGCAAGAAAATTCACCCATTCCCGTTTCTTTCAGCGTCCTTCAACTGTGAAGGAGATGAAGGATCAGAACCTGGAACCCAGAGCTTTGGGAGTATTAAAAGACCGAGCCCTTTTCTCTGTGCATCATAACAGTCTTGGGCTGTAGCTGTATACTACCCTCATTTTACAGAAGGAGAAATTTGAGGCTCAGTGACTTGCTGGACATCACATAGCGGAGGAATGGCAGAAACTTGAATTAGAGCCCAAGGCTTCTAACTCGCAACTCGGATTTGCCTCTCATCCTGGGGGTGACTGAGTGGGTCACTATTCCAAAGGCTGTATCACTGTCCATCAAGGAATGCGACATCTCTGGCAGGCGCTCCTAGAGCCTCCTCCCAACAACCGAGCCGAAGGGGACCGTGTACAGCAGGAGGAAGCCTCACCGCGCGCAGGGCGTGGAACCTGGGTCTAAGCCCATCCCCTTTGTGGATGGTTCAGGCACGCGCTCAGGGAACTGCTTTGTGATTGGCCGCCGCTCCAGCGAGCGTCGTGATTGGCCCCCTTGCAGCCGTTGGTATTTGAACTCGATCTTAGCGGCTTTGCCCGCGCGGCGCGGGGCTCAAAGGCGGGTCTTTGTCTCAGCCTGCTGTGGATTGGTCGGGTTCTCCGCCAGCTTGAAAACTGACTTTCTGATTGGTGCGTTTTCTGTACTCGTGTTTTTTTCCTGCCATTTCAACTCAACTACCCGAATCCGAGGAGTCGCGTGTAAGGTTCACAGGTGAGATGTGGAATTATGTGGGGTTGAGAAAATCAGCTACAGGGCGCGGTATAACGCAGTCTTTAACAATATGCGGGGCTGGGGATGTGGCTCAAGTGATAGCGCGCTTGCCTGGCATGCGTGCGGCCCGGGTTCGATCCTCAGCACCACGTACAAAGATGTTGTGTCCGCCCAAAACTTAAAAATAAATAAATAAATTGATACCTGTCTTTGATTTAAAAAAAAAAAAAAACAATATGCAATAGGCAGGAAGGTATAGTAGACATATCCTTGGGGTGCGATGTGGTAGAAACTGTGACAGATCCAGTCTGTGTGTAGTTTGTGCAAATCGCATAACCTTAATTTCCCAATCTGTACAGTAAATTGTATTATCATGCCCTCTGTGGGATTGCCATTAGGAGAGTAAAATCGTGTATGATTTATTCGGATAGTCTAAAAAAAATCTGATATAAATAAAAATGTTACTGCAGATTCTCACATTCTGAAGCCTCTAACCCATGGTCGGCCACTGTTCTGGTCTCTGATGGACATTGTCTTATACTTAAGGAACTTTGCGCATCAAAATGGAAGTATAATGCTCACTTTATGCATTAGTATGCCACTTTGCAATTCCTTAAACACTTCTATAGCCTTTGGTTTATTCCCTCCTCAGAGCAACTTTGAGATGTAATCAGAAATTAGTAACCTCCGGTTTACAGATGAGACAGACGGGATTAAGTGAGGTGACCAAGTGTTAGAGTCATGATAAGAATTAGATTCTAGTTCAGGGTTGATCTTACATCCTAATGTTATAAGCTGGTTGTAAAACTAAAGAATATTTTATGTTGGAGATGGGGAAATAATTGAAACAAATGAAAAGACAGGTCTTAGCCCCTGATATTTTTGCTGTTTGGTTTCTAGCCTTGTTAGCCAGTGGAAGAATATGTCTCCCCAACTGTATGAGTTCCATCTGCCTTTATCTCCTGAGGAGTTGTTGAAAAGTGGAGGTGTGAATCACTATGTTGTGCAAGAGGTACTGTCCATCAGAAATTTGCCATCCCAGCTTAGAGGTAAGACTTCACAGCTGTCATTGTACCCAGCACTTCATAACAATCATTCCATGCCTGCTTAGGCAGCACATATACTAAAATTGGAATGATGCAAAGAAGACTAGCTGGCCCTTGCATAAGGATGACATGCAAATTTGTGAAGCATTCCATATTTCAAAACAAAAACTATTTCATGAGTAATTACACTGTACTGAGCTCTATCCCCAGCCCTTTTTATTTTTTATTTGGATCTAGGGTCTCACTCACTTGCTTAGAGCCTACTAAGTTGCTGAGGCTGGCTTCAAACTTGGAATCCTCCTGCCTCAGCCTCCCAAGTCACTGAGATTACAGGAGTGTGACATAGTGCCCAGCTACAGTAAACTATTTTTTTCATATAAGTAGGAATACACTCTAAAATAACAAAAGTACAGTACAGTAAACACATATGCCATCGTGCCCAGCTACAGTAAACTATTTTTTTAATATAAGTAGGAATACATTCTAAAATAACAAAAGTATAGTAAACACATAAACCAGTAGCATAGTCATTTGTTATCAAGTATTATATATAATTGTATTTGATGTATTTTACATGTACTGTACATGTGCAGTACAATAAGCTTGTTCACACCAACATAACCACAAACATTTGAATAATGCCTTGGGTAACAATATTACAGTGACTACAGCACCACTAGGGGACTTATAGGACCACCATGATGTATATATGTTGTCTGTCATTGACTGAAATGTTGTATGCTGATTGTATGTATGGTGTTGTTGCCTACAGAAACCTATAAATGACCAAAAATAACTTGTGTTTTGCCAAGAAGACCCCATAACGTCACCGTACCTCTTGAAATTGCTTTATGTCAGGTTGCTTTGGAGAGGTACATTGAATAAAGACTTTGGAGCCAGACTGCCCAGATTTGAAGCTGACCTTGGGCAAGTTACTTAATTTTCTCTATGCCTCTGCTTCCTCATCTATAAAGATAGGGATAATAATCTGCTTCCTTTATTGTCTGCTAAACAGAAAGGATAGGTTAATGCAGCAGCTTGATTATATGACAACCATGATTCAAATGCCAAGCGGAGATAGGCTAGAATCATTCTGAATTTTTCAGATTGAATAGCTCTCAATAGGCCTTTTTATCCTGCATTTCTAGAAAGCTCCCAGATCATGATGCTAATGCTGCTGAATTAAAGACCACATTTTAAAAAAATATTTTTATTAATAGATGATGAAATTTTTTATTTTATTTATTTATTTGTATGTGGTACTGAGAATCGAACCCAGTGCCTCACATATGTTAGGCAAGCGCTCTACCACTGAGCCACAATCCCAGCCCAACACCACATTTTGAGGAGCAAGACCCTAGCATAACCTATACCATTTCTCATCTGACCTTTTTTTCCAGCTCATTCCATTCCACCTATATTGGCATTTTCCAATTTCTGGGCTTTCGAATTAGTTTTTCTCTGCTTGGAATGCCCTTCCTAAGGGTCTGCATAAATCATCTCTTTATTTCCTTAAGGTCTCTGCTCAAATATCCTTTATCAGCCGGGCATAGTGGTGCACACCTATAATCCCAGCGGCTCTGGAGGCTGAGGCAAGAGGGTCATAAGTTCAAAGCCAGCAACTCAGTGAGACCCTGTCTCTAAATAAAATACAAAATAGAGCTGGAAATGTGGCTCAGTGGTTGAGTGCCCCTGAGTTCAATCCCCAGTACCAAAAAAAAAAAAAAAGTCGTCTATCACCTAGCCTTCTGTAATCATTTAATATAAATTATCTGCCTGTACTCTGGCATACCCTATCTCATTATTTTATGTTTTCTCCTTGGTCCTTATAACTATTTGACATATTCCAAATTTTCTTATTTATTACTTATTGAGATTCCTTGAGAGAAAGAACTCTTGTTATTTTGTCTAGTTGTTTATTGTTATAACCCTAAGTGCTTAACAATGCCGACAAATAACATATCAGTTAATACTTGCTCAATTAATTAAATGATTTGATCTTTGGTGTTTATAATAGAAGTCATGTTTAGATTCTAAACACCAAAAATCATAATAGCCATACAATTTTTCTAAAATGGACTCCCAGCTGGGTGTGGTGGTACATACCTATAGTACCAGGTACCTGGGAGATTGAGGTGGGAGGAATACCCATATGTTTCATGGTTTGAGACCAGCTTAGGAAACATAATGATACCTCTTCTTAAAAAGGGGGAGGGGGGCACTGAGGATATAGCTCAGTTTGTAGAGTGCTTGCCTTGTATGCATAAAGCCCTAGGTTCAATCCCCAGCAACACGTTAAAAAAAGAAAAGAAATTCTTAGCTGGTGATAGAGTACTTGTGTAGTATATGTAAGGCCCTGGGTTCAATTGTGAGCCCTACAAAAGTCATGCTAAAATAACCCTTAAAAAGAATGACCATTCATTTAAAAATATATACATATACATGCACTATAATAACTCAAGAATAATTTGCTATAGTGTACAGCTGTATATACCCACACAATATAGATAGAATGGTCTATCTATGGACACTGTTGATGTTAACTACCCATCAGTCATTCTCCACACTCCACTTTGTTCCTTGTTGGTTTAAATGATGATTTTCCAGATTTAGAGAGGCTCCTAGATAGTAATCTTGATCGGTTTTACCAATCTTGAGTAATTCTGTTTCCATCACTAGTAATTAGAAAAACAAGCACATGATACAATTTTGACTAAGTCTGTTGGGAAGCTTCTGATAACGTTTTTAAAAGAATAAAAAGTATAAGCCAGAAAAAAATTTTATTCTACTTCTGGACATCAGATCAAGGGAGAGATGCTAATAAAGATATAGATTTGGGCTGGGGATGTGGCTCAAGTGGTAGCGCGCTCGCCTGGCATGCGTGCGGCCCGGGTTCGATCCTTACCACCAATACAAACAAAGATGTTGTGTCTGCCGATAACTAAAAATAAATTTTAAAATTCTCTCTCTCTCTCTCTCTCTCTCTCTCTCTCTCTCTCTCTCTTAAAAAATAAAAAAGATATAGATTTGGGG